CAAAAAAGAAAAATAAGCAAGAAGAGAGAGTGTGTGCTGGGGGCTGGTTGAAATGTTAAATAAGGTGAGGTATATTAGTTAGCTAGGGCTGCCATAAGGAAGTACCACCTAAGGGTGGCCTAGACAACAGAAATGGATTGCCTCACAGTTCTGGAGACTAGAATCCAAATAAGAGCGATTCTCTGCAAGTGTTTAGCATTTTTAAAACAACATAATAGGATTTAATTTAATAACATAAAAACTAAAAATTGAGATAATAAAGTAACAGAATGAGATGAAAAAGGAGGTTGAAGAGCTTAGGGAATACATTGAAAATCAAAATACTATGATAACAGGTATAATAAATTAATTAGAAAAGAAAATAATCATGGCTAAAAATCAAATTAACATCATGGAGGGAAGACTTAAGATAATAGTGGATATAGAGGGGAAAAACAAAAAGATTGAAGCAACTAGAAAGAATGTGATAGATATGGAAGCCAAAGATGATCTATTAATTAAGGATACTTGATGTCCTTTGTGTACAGATCTCAACAAAAGGAACTTAGAGATATAATACAAGAAAACTTCTCTGACTGGAATGAAAAATTCAACCTGAAGATTGAAAAGATAGTGTATCTGCCAGAAAAAAAAAATGTTTTAATATCCCCAACATTGACTGCCCTAATTAAGATTCTGAGCTTCAAAGATTTAAAGGGAAAAAAAGAATTGCTCAGACACACTGGTAGAAGAAATTAAAAAAAAAAAAGCAGATCACTATTAAAGGAAGGAAAAAAACAAATTTGGTCTCAGGCTCCCCATGTAATCCTATAAGTCCATCCAAAAGTTGATAATTAGGTAAAGAGATAGGGAGACAGAGAGACTTGTTGCAGAGATTTGAGCTTAGCAATCATGGGAGCTGACTAAGAAATGATGTATGTATTTGTCTTCACATGTATGAAGTCCAGTGCTGGAGCTTGAAGTCCACAGGCAGTTAGGAGGAAAATGGATGTGAAATGGAAGACCAGCACGGACAGGCTGTAACCCACAAGCACAAGCTGGGAGCAGCTGGAATGAACTGAAACTGTGTCAGCTCTCACCACCCCTGACCTTGAGGGCTGGGTGTTTTGCAGAAGCAGTCAGTGCCCTCTGTCATGGAGCTAATGGCATGTCTGGCCCAGGAGTTAGAGGATCAGGGGAAGGTGGAGCAGTTGCAGGCTGGGCTTCTGCCGTGCCTGAATGAGGCAAGCCAGCAGGTGAGTGACAACTGGTAAGCTATCAAATGGCTGCTGCTTCACTCTACCCTCCAATTCTCTCTTGTGGCCCACTAATTGGTAACACACAGAGCAGGGAGTCTGAGGAATGTAGTTCAGCCTAGCCAAGTGAATATATTATAAAGTCACCGGAGTACCCCTTCTCAGATTGGGACTCTTTAAACCATGCTTAACTTCTAGATAAAGACAGTAACATAGTAATGCTTCCACCTAGCATGTACGACTGTCCACATACCACCGAAAGCACGCCACCCCTTCCCCAGAAGAGATGCAAACCCCCTCTTTGTCTCTGAGTGATGTTTCTTCTTCTAGCTAACTCACACTCCCCCTTCATGATCCTGTAACTAAAATACTGAGCTATAAGATTAATTGTAATCAACATGTCTGTTAAAGGGAAAGAAGAGGGAAAGAAAACAAAAATAGTTGGTTAATTAATAGATATTTACCAACATATTCATTTCAAGATCATAATTGTTATAGTCCCCTTTTCTGCCATTGGTCATGTAGGCATAGCTGATGTTTTTTAATGTTTTTATTGATTTTTAGAGATAGAGGAAAGGAGAGGGATAGAGAGACAGAAACATCAATGAGAGAAACTTCATCTATCGCAGCAGTTCTCAACCTGTGGGTCGCGACCCCTTTGGGAGTCGAACGACCCTTTCACAGGGGTCGCCTAAGACCATCGGAAAACACATATATAATTACATATTGTTTTTGTGATTAATCACTATGCTTTAATTATGTTCAACTTGTAACAATGAAATTGGGGGTCACCACAACATGAGGAACTGTATTAAAGTGTCGCGGCATTAGGAAGGTTGAGAACCACTGATCTATCGGCTGCCTCCTGCACACTCCATAATGGGAATTGAGACCACAACCCAGGTATGTATCCTGACTGGGAATTGAACCCGTGACCTCTTGGTTCCTGAGTTGCCACTCAACCACTGAGCCACACCACTGGGCAGCATAGCTGATATTTTTAATTACCTTCCTCTTCCCACTGCAAATCCCCTTTGCCCACTGCAGGTTGTGGTTCCCTGCCTGCTGGGGTGACCAAACTGTTATTCTTGAAGGGTTTGGGCCATAGCAGTCTTGCCTGAATTGAGTTGCTATGGTTTTCTACTGACTTTAACCACAGGGCATACTAAGAAATCCCATAGGGCCATGGTCGGCAAACTGCGGGTCGCGAGCCACATGCGGCTCTTTGGCCCCTTGAGTGTGGCTCTTCCTAAGCCTTAGGAGTACCCTAATTAAGTTAATAACAATGTACCTACCTATATAGTTTAAGTTTAAAAAATTTGGCTCTCAAAAGAAATTTCAATCATTGTACTGTTGATATTTGGCTCTGCTGACTAATGAGTTTGCTGACCACTGCATAGGGGATCAGCTATACTCCAGGCATATTCCTTCCTACCCACATGGTGTAACTGCAACCCAAGTTCCCTTGATAGTCGCGATCGCTTCCCCCAGGCCATACAGTAACTCCCTTCTTTGCCTAATGAGTCAATGGCATAAGGTATCCACAGTGGCCAGGTGATTGTATGGATTTTCAGTTCGATGGAATCGCTGTTGTGTTCCTGGTAGAAGCATTCCTTCCTTGGGAACTAAGACCTCTACACTGGCAGAGCCTACAGTTGCAGGGACAGAAAGGTCACTAGGGGAGGAGTGAGAGGGACTACTCCCTTTCCACCCCTTCCTGCCTGGCCTGGTGGATCCTGGCTATGGTAGACTCAGCTCTATATATTAGATGCCGAGTTAGAGCATCCTGGAAAACACTGCCCCAAATCCAAAAGTGTTGCCACCCAGCTGGCATCATAGCCAAGTCTTTGGAAGGTCATTCCATAATTCTGTCAACCCAACTCATCTTGGATAATGGGGAATATGCTAAAACCAATGAATTCCATAAGCACTGGGCATATTTTCAGTGAAATGAGTTTCTGCTCAGAAATGATGCTGTGTGAAATACCTTGATTGTGCATAAAGCATTCCATAAGTCCATAGATGGTAGTTTTGTTTTGTTTTTTGTTCTTTTTAAAAATATTTTTTTATTGATTTCAGAGAGGAAGGGAGAGGAAGAGAGAGATAAACATCAATGATGAGAGAGAATCATTGATTGGCTGCCTCCTGCATGGCCCCTACTGGGGATCGAGCCCACAACCCAGGCATGTGCCCTGACGGGGAATCGAACCGTGATCTCCTGGTTCCTAGGTCGATGCTCAACCACTGAGCCACACCAGCCGGGCCACAAATGGTAGTCTTGGCAGAAGCATCGTGGGCAAAGAAGGCAAATCGATGACCAGAGTGTCTATTCTGGTAAGAACCAAACACTGCCGCTTCCCTGGTGGAAGTGGCCCAATGGAACCAATCTGTCACCAGGCGGCTGGCTGACTACTCTGGGGAGTGGTGCCATATTACTGTTGGTCTCGGCTGGCAGACTGGGCACTCCGCAGTGGCTCCAGCAGGATGGGCCTTGGTGAGTTCATAGGTGTAGATGTGGGCAAAACTAACTCCATCTCTGTGTCCTGGATTTCATTTCATTCCTAAGTTTCATGCTGTGATCTCTGACCAACCTCACTGTCCTTAGCAAGCTTATCAAAGCCTTCTAGTTGATCATTATCTGTTTGTGTTCCATAAAATGTAACCATAAATATTTTTGTTAAGCCGGAATGGCATGACGACTGAGATGAATATCAAACTGGTGTAGTATTGATTATAAACAATCAACCATCACAAGACCACCAGGAGGATGTCCCCTGGTGCCACTGCACTCTTTGTCCCTTTGTCTTGTCAATCATCAGTACCTGAGTTATACTATTAAAAAAATACAGTAACGGGGTTTGTAGTGGAGAATAATTTGTACAGAACTGCTAGGTCATCTGTCTAAGCTGATCCTACATTCCTGTAATTAAATTACCCCATAATATCTCATTGTATTCTATAGGTTCCCTGCAGTGTCTCTCTCTCTATATATTTTTTTTTAATTGATTTCAGAGAGGAAGGAAGAGGGAGAGAGAGATAGAAACATCGATGATGAGAGAGAAACATCAATCAGCAGCTTCCTGCATGCCCCCTACTGGGAATCAAGCCTACAACCCAGGCATGTGCCCTGACAGGAATCGAACCCTAACCTCCTGGTTCATGGGTTGACGCTCAACCACCGAGCCACACCAGCTAGGCTGCCAGTGTCTTTCGATCTGAAGGTACCTTCTCGTTACCGTAGCCTTTATGCCTTTGTCCCACTGTCAGACAGTGTTTAAAGTCCATGTTGCTGAGCCCATGAATGACCTTTACCCCTAGACATGTGCCCTGACAGGAATCGAACCCTAACCTCCTGGTTCATGGGTTGACGCTCAACCACCGAGCCACACCAGCTAGGCTGCCAGTGTCTTTCGATCTGAAGGTACCTTCTCGTTACCGTAGCCTTTATGCCTTTGTCCCACTGTCAGACAGTGTTTAAAGTCCATGTTGCTGAGCCCATGAATGACCTTTACCCCTAATATTGGGCAATGGCTGGAGTGGCCAAGGAAGGAGGCTGAATGACATCCACAGAATGGATCAATCTATCCTCCTGATTATTAAAATGCTCCTCTGCTGAGACCACCCTTTCACTCCCACTCACAGAAATCTATCCACATACCTGCTCCCTAGACCTCCTTGTCATCAGTTTTTCAATCATTATTCTTCCAAGTCCCTGACCACCAGCCAAACCATTAGCCAGAGCCCACGAACTGATGCCAACCATACCTCTAGCCATCTCTCTTCCAGGCAAAATGAACAACCAGGTGAACTGCTAAAGTGCTGCCCACTGGGGAAGATTTCCCCATCACTGTCCTCCAGGTCCTTCCCACAGCGAGAAGTAGGGTGCAGCTGTCCCCATAGGTGGTGGGTGTTTTTGCCTGGAAGAAACAAAATATCCAACAATAAAGAACTGTGCAGAGGCAGAAAACTCTTCCTAAGAGTAAATAATACACTCCCAAAGCAGAACCCCTTCCTTGATGACCCCCTGGAAAGCAAACTCCAAACAAAACCAGTCTCTGCAAGAACAAAGGTAGGAGGGCAGTGGGTGGACATGAACCCTGTGCGGTGGGCTACTCCAGAGATGAGTTAGCTCCTCTTCCTCCTGGCTGTATGTGTGTTTGTTTGTTGTTAATACTCATATGAAGATAGTTTTTCCACTGATTTTTAAAGAGAGTGAAAGGGAGGGGAAGAGACAGAGAGAACATCGCTGTGAGAGAGATACATCAATTGGCTGCCTCCCATACACGCCATGACCAGGGCTGGGAATCAAGCCTGCAACCAAGGTACATGCCCTTGACCAGAATCGAACCCAGGACCCTTCAGTACATGGGCCAGAGCTCCATCCACTGAGCCAAACCAGCTAGGGATGGTTTGTTGTTTTTTCCTTTGTAAGTGTCCATGAGGCTTGAAGTTTTTGTTGTTTTTATTGTGGTAAAAAACAAAACAAAAACAAAAACCCACACACATAGCATAAAATTGACCTTTTTACGTGTGCAGTTCAGTAGTGTTAACTAGATGCCCATTGTTGTGCAACAGGTCTCTGCAGCTCTCTGTCCTGTAAAACCGAAACTCTGCCCTCGGAACAACAGCTCCCCATTCCCCCGCCCCTGGCAACCACCATCCTACTTCCCAGGAGTCTGACTATTCCAGGCGTCTCATGTAAGTGGACTCAGACAGTGTTTGTCTTTCTGTGACTGGCTTATTTCACTTGTCATAATGTCCCCAAGGTTCAACCACGTTGTTGCATATGACAGATAGTAGGACAGATCTGCTTCCTTTTTAAGGCTGAATAATATTCCCTTGTATGTGTGTATATATGTATATATGTGTATATTTTTTATATATGCATGTATACACATTTATTTTACCCATTCATCTGTCAATAGGCACCTAGGCTGCTTCCACTTCTTGGCAATAATAAATAATGCTGCAGTAAACGTAATGCTGCTAGCAGAACCCGCTTTCAGTTATTTTGGATATATACCCAAAAGTAGGATTTCTGGATCAGACAGTGGTTCTACTTTTGATTTTTTGAGGAACTTCTATGCTGTTTTCCATGGAAGCTGCACCAGGTGACATTCCCCCTAACAGTGCACCAGGTTTCCAATTTCTCCACACCCTTGCCAACACTTGGTTTGGTTTGGTTTTTAGTGGCCATCTAGTGGGTGCAAGGGGCTCTCCACTGTGGTGTTGATTTGCATGGCCCTGCTGAGTCCAGGTGTTGAGCACCGGTTCACATGCTTGTTGGCCATCTTCTTTGGAGAAATGTCGATTCAAGTCTCTGCCTATTTGTTAATCGAGTTATTTGGTTTTTTTGGTGGTGAGTTGTAGGAGTTCCTTATAGATTTTGGTGTTAAAAATAGCCGACATAGCCCTGACCGGTTTGGCTCAGTAGATAGAGCGTCGGCCTGTGGACCGAAGGGTCCCGGGTTCGATTCCAGTCAAGGGCATGTACCTTGGTTGTGGGCACGTCCCCAGTAGGGGGCGTGCAGGAGGCAGCTGATCGATGTTTCTTTCTCATCGATGTTTCTAACTCTCTATCCCTCTCCCTTCCTCTCTGTAAAAAATCAATAAAATATATTTTTTAAAAAATAGCTGACATATAGTTTGCATATATGTTCTCCCATTCTATAGGTTGCCTTTTCACTGTTAATTGTTTCCTTTGGGCTTGAAGTCTTTATAATTAAATATATCATGTCAAGGGAAGATTAATAAACTGGCTCAGATTAAAGAGACACAACTAAATACAATGTGCTATCCTGTTTGGGTCTTAGAAGAGGAAAAGGACATTTGTGGAAAAACTCTTGAAATCCTAATAAAACCCTGTAGTTGAGTCCATAGTATTATATCAATGTTAATCTCTTCGTTTTGACAAATGTAGCATCTATACATATAAAAAGGTAATATGCAAATTAGCTGGGATGCCATAACACGTCACGACCGGACCATTAGCATATTACCTCTTTATTAGCTCCTATCATCAGGAGGCTGCCTGCACGTGCTTTGGGGTGTTGCTCCAGAGACGGGAGACGGGGCGGAAGCAGGGAGGCGGGAGCGGGGAAGCAGGGAGGCGGAGAGGCGGGAGAAGGCGGGACCAGCCCGAGACAACTCCAGGGTGGGAGTCACCGCGCGAATTAGCACACTGGGCTCCTAGTAGTTATATAAGAACTTAGCATCAGGAGAAGCTGGGTGAAGGGTACAGGGGAACTTTCTGTACTATCTTTTCAAAATTTTCTGTGAACTGAAAATGATCCCCCTCCAGAGATATAGGTGTATAATGAGTCCTAATCTAAAATGAAATAAAATGGGATAAATACCTACCCTTAAAGTTGATGAGAGATCAAATGGGCTGGTGTCTGCAAAGCACGCACACAGGGCACATAGTTGAAAAGCCAATAAATGCAGGCTGTTATGATAGCTGTTATATTACCTCTAACTCCTTTCCCGCCTCTCGGATTCTGTGAGCACTGTTCCTTGGTGGCAGTGAACTTACAGCTTCAGTTTTTGGGAAAGTGAAGTTACAACACAGTTCCACTTGCTAGTGTCCCCCTAAATATGACACAGCCGTTCTGCTTCCCTTTACCCAATTTCTTTCTTTGAAAGCCACAGGAAGATTACCAAACGAACATGCAATGTATCTGAAAACTCTCTGAAGAACTATAGTAGGTACTACCCATCCTTCTCATCTTCTCCGGGTATCACTCCTCCTCCCTGGCCCCTGTTCATTAGCAGTTGGAGTATTTTGCAAACTCCTTAGAGCTGGATACCAAGGCAATGTCTTCCTTTCCCAATGTCTACACCCGTGGTCTCAGCCTTTTGAATGCCACAGACCAGTTAACTTTTATTTTATTTTTTGCTTTTTTTTTAAGTTTAATAGGACAGTCTCATGTCCAAATTTTTTTTAAATATGTTTTTATTGATTTCAGAGAGAGAAAGAGAGGGATAGAAACATCAATGATGAGAGAGAATCACTGATTGGCTGTCTCCTGCACACCCCCTACTGGGGATCTAGCCGCAACCCAGGCATTTGCCCTGACTGGATGGAACCATGACCTCTTGGTTCATGGGCCAATTAACTTTTTTTAAAAGGAAGGGGTGGGGCAATTTACACTCGTCAATTTGTTATTTTACCTACAAGGGAGCTTTTTGTTTTTAAATCCCCAGTATACAGTTACTATCATCAACATTGCATCAAAATGCCATAAAAGGAAACGGCATTTTAACACCAAAAAAATAAGAGGGGCAGAATCTCAAAAATAAAGTGTCCTTCCAAAAAAATCACTGTTACCAACTTACTCTGATACGTCAAAACTTTTAAAATAACAGCGTTAAAAAGTCCTAAAAAAAAGTCAAGTCCTAAAAAAATCCCAACATAAAATGCATCTTAAGATACTACATTGCATTTCATTTTGGGATTGTGACCATCGCATAAAGTAAGAGAGTACTTATAATGTGTACAAGGGCTGTTTACAGAGTAATAGACTGAACAGCTGTGTGCCCATCACCGTGCATAGACTGGTCCCGGCACGTGGAAGGCCCTGGGGCCCCTGCACCTTCCTCTCCAGCTCCAGGGGACACCACCCCTGTGGGATGCGGAACCATTTCCTTTCTCCTCATATTTTACTCCCTATGTCTCTATTCCTAACAAGGCACTTATTCTTTTTTTTTTTTTTTTGGTTCTACTACTTCTAGGAAAGGAATTATATTGTGTGTGACTTGCCTTTTTTTGCTCAGAATAATGGTTTTTCATGATACAAAGGTGGTGTTTAGAGATCTGTATCTGACGGAGTTTTGCAAAGAGGAGCCAGGTTGTATTTTTGAAGTGGTTGTTTGCGGCAGCAGTCTGCGGTGTTTACCTATGCCGCCATCTTGGTCTCCCTGGAAACGGCATTTTAACACCAAAAAAATAAGAGGGGCAGAATCTCAAAAATAAAGTGTCCTTCCAAAAAAATCACTGTTACCAACTTACTCTGATACGTCAAAACTTTTAAAATAACAGCGTTAAAAAGTCCTAAAAAAAAGTCAAGTCCTAAAAAAATCCCAACATAAAATGCATCTTAAGATACTACATTGCATTTCATTTTGGGATTGTGACCATCGCATAAAGTAAGAGAGTACTTATAATGTGTACAAGGGCTGTTTACAGAGTAATAGACTGAACAGCTGTGTGCCCATCACCGTGCATAGACTGGTCCCGGCACGTGGAAGGCCCTGGGGCCCCTGCACCTTCCTCTCCAGCTCCAGGGGACACCACCCCTGTGGGATGCGGAACCATTTCCTTTCTCCTCATATTTTACTCCCTATGTCTCTATTCCTAACAAGGCACTTATTCTTTTTTTTTTTTTTCTGGTTCTACTACTTCTAGGAAAGGAATTATATTGTGTGTGACTTGCCTTTTTTTGCTCAGAATAATGGTTTTTCATGATACAAAGGTGGTGTTTAGAGATCTGTATCTGACGGAGTTTTGCAAAGAGGAGCCAGGGTGTCCATCTATTCGTGCAGCAGCCATGGTGGCTAAACGTCCAGCTGTGCCCACACGTGTGGATGGAAGGGGAAGCCAAGCTCCCAAAGCTCTCACCAGGCTCTTTGGGTCAACAGCCTCTCGGTCTCCAGTGGCTTTTATGAGACGGGCAGGCTCAGGGCCCTAATGTGGGCTGTGAGGGGGGTGTCGCTTCACTGGAGTGGCACAGTTCTAGGCTCTGATTGCCACCCAGCAGTCAGAACATCACCTGTGAAGGCGCTGTGAGCAGGTGAATTTCACAGACCCACAGGAAGGCCTGGGCTGGCCTTGAAAATCACCACTCCATTGGTTTATAGTTAACTTCCCAGGTGAATATTCCTACCCATTGTCTCCTTCGCACGTGCAAGGAGAGGCCTAGGATACTCTCATCAGATTCCTGGAACGTCTCTAAAGAAAGATCCTGAGCATACGAGTCCCTAGGTCTCTCTAGAAACGCAGACTCGCATGCCCCTCCCAAGACCAAATGAATCAGAATTTTGCATTGTAATGAGATTCCCAGGGGACTTGTACGCACATTCAAGTTCGAGAAGCACTGGCCTAGATCCTTCATTTGGGAGAAGGAGGTGGTGTTCAAATGAATATTTTTAAGTATAACACACAGAGAGGAAAGTGTTACATCCTAAGAGTGTCATGTGAGAAGTCACTACAAAGTAAACCCACAGGTGTACCCAGCACCCAGATTAAGAACGGGAGCTCTGCCACACCCTGGAAGCCCATTTCCCACCTGCCCTCCCTCACTAAACCCCCTGCTCACCCAAGATAACCAGAACTCCTGCTTCGAAGGGCACAGGTTAACTTGGTCCGTGTCGGCTCTTCATATAAGCGGAATCATACCGTGTGTATTGTTTTGTGTCCAACTTCATTTGCTCGACATTTTGTTTGTAAGAGTCTAAATCGCTCCCCAGGAGCCCCACTGCCTACTGTGTGCTTACACATTGTGTACCCGTCTCCCTCCAGCTTCCTGCATCTCCCATCTCCAGAAAACTGTCATAATGTTAAAGAAAGCCCATGTATCCAAATGACTATTTATTGAGCATCTAGATCAGGGGTCCTCAAACTACGGCCCACGGGCCACATGCGGCTCGCCGAGAACATTTATCCCGCCCGCCGGGTGTTTTTGCCGCCGCTGCCTGTTGCTTAGCAGCCGACTAGTTTTTTTTTTTAAACTATAGTCCGGCCCTCCAACGGTCTGAGGGACAGTGAACTGGCCCCCTGTTTAAAAAGTTTGAGGACCCCTGATCTAGATTGTGTTGGGCATTGCACTGAAGGCTGGACCCCCAACATATGTTGCCAAATTGAGACTTCAGCTTCAATGCCTTCAGTGATGTGGGAGATTTGCGTTGGGATGTGAATTCAAACTTTGAAAGGAATTTATTACCTGCCCTAAAAACACCCCAAACTGCAGGTTAGCACACAGCCACCAAGGAGCAGCAGGGCTCCTCACTTACGTCTTTTGCACACATCATGAAATCCAGGTACAATAAGTTTCCGCCTCAACTATTTCTACTTCTCTTCAAATGTTATTGGGGTAAATATTGGGGTTCTCCCAGCTAAAAGTTCTAACTCTCGAAAAAACCTCTTGGTGCTTGTGCTTCGCAGGGCCTTTGGGAGGAAAGGATGTGCAGACACTCACCTTGGCTCCCCGTGGACATTCGTGGCACTTAGATCCTCTTGCCTAATTAGTTCACCGTAAGCGTTGCTATGAGACCAGTGGTGGAGCATCTTTCTGGGCCTCAGTTTTCTCACCTACAAAAACAAGGAAGCATACTGCATCACAGGTTTTTACCTTGAAATCCATGGGTCCACTAGAGCCGTGGTCGGCGAACTGCGGCTCGCGAGCCACATGCGGCTCTTTGGCCCCTTGAGTGTGGCTCTTCCTAAGCCTTAGGAGTACCCTAATTAAGTTAATAACAATGTACCTACCTATATAGTTTAAGTTTAAAAAATTTGGCTCTCAAAAGAAATTTCAATCGTTGTACTGTTGATATTTGGCTCTGTTGACTAATGAGTTTGCCGACCATTGCACTAGAGAATCTGTTAATCCCTGGAAATTACATGAAAGATTATGAATGTGTGTTTTGGGGGAGAAGGAAGCCCAGAGGACAATGACCCCCCACATTAAACACATGTTAGGTGATCTCCAAGGACCTTTGCACTTACTAGTCTGCAGTCAACGTGGCTCTCTGTGTCAACAGGAGGACTTGATTTTTCTCAGTGTCCGGCTCCAGCTGAATCTGAAAAAAGAAGTTGGCCTTGCCTTTTTCGTTCTGTAGCTTTCTCTGCCCTAACAAGGAGGACTGTGATAGAGCAGTGCCTCACAATAGAGTCTCTCTCGTCTCTACGAGTGAGATAACATCAAGGTCATTTCATTTAAAATAGCATGGCCCTGAATCGAGTCCCTTCGTTTTAATATGACCTCAATCTGGGTCGTATTGTATTCAGTTGGCTTGTTTTCTAAACATTGTGTCGATCCAAACCCCCAGAGCACAGTGGCAGGTCGGGTTCTCATAAGCAAATAGATGTGAGCATACTGATGTCTCTGGACCAGCGGTCGCCAACCTTTCGGATCTCGCGGACCACCGGTTGGTGACCGCTGTTCTGGACAGTTCAACCATCCAGTTTTCTCTACCCAGAGGAAGGGTCTGCAGCACCCCCAGGGAGAAAGGCACCCAGGTTGGCCCAGCCAGCCCAGGGTGCTGGCCTGTCACCTGAGCAAAAGAGTGAAACCAGACCCATCCTACCTGTCTAAGGTCAGAGCTCGTTATTTTAACCCAACAATAATATTGGGTTACACATTCCCTCTGTGTGGCTGGTTCCCCTGGCAGCACCCTGGCAACAATTGAGCCAAAAGCTTTCATGACAAAGCCACGTTGGTCAGTAAAGGAACACCTTGTATTCCTTACGTGGAGCAAGACACGCTGGACCGGTAAACAGTGTTCTTAATAGTTACACTGGTTTCACTGCAGATGAAAAGAGGTGGTTTCAGAACTCCTGGCTTCCTACAAACACCCTTTTCTGTTCTCAGTTATCTAAGGAGGCAGAGCCCCACCTTCAACGCTTGCTGCTCCAAGTGTGGGCCAGGGACCAGCGCCACCTGGCAGCTTGTTAGAAATGAGAAAACCGCAGCCCCACCCAGAACTAATAAACCGGAATCTGCATTCTAAGCAGATCGCCAGGTCATTCCTAATCATAGACGCATTCAAATTTGGGAAGCACTCCTGAGGAACGGCCCCGAATCTCCCAGCCAGCCGCACCTCTCTCCTATCATGTCTGCGCCCCTCCAGCAACTAATTAATGATCAATAAATATGAGCTTCCTTCTTCTCCCTCCTAAAACCCAGAGGACCACCAGGGATGATTTGAGGGAGGGGAGGAGGAACAAGCCCAGAAGAGGAGATACTTGGAAAGGGAAGAGGGAATAGTGAAGAAGGAGAAAGAGCAAAGAGATTACTTCTGAAAGGAAAGTTTACATCTTGGGTTTTATGGGCTTGTTATGTTTTTTTTCTGTATTTATATTAAAGTACAGTTGGTATACAAGTTATATTCATTATATGAGTTTCAGGTGTACAGTATAGTGATTCAACACTTTTATACCTTACAATGGGAACACCTCACTAATTCTAATAATTGTCTGTCCCTATGCAAACGTATCACAATACAGTGGGGCCTTGACTTACGAGTTTAATTCGTTCCGTGACAGAGCTCGTAACTCAAATTGCTCGTATGTCAAATCAAGAAGTGAACAAGTGAGACACATGATGCTGGGCTGATGTTGTGGCGTTCACTGTGACGTTCGCTGCGCCAACTAGCGGTGGGGTATCTGAAGCTGGCTCGTAACCCGAATTTTAGCTCGCAACTCAAAGCAAAAAATCAGCCGAGAGATGGCTTGTATCTCGGAAAAACTCGTTAGTCGGGACACTCGTAAGTCAAGGCCCCACTGTATTATTGACTAGATTCTGCTTCTCCTTTTCACTCATCGCTACACCCACTCCCCTCTGGCAACCATCCTTTTGTTCTCTGTTTCTATGAGTTTGTTTTTGTTTGGTTTGTTCGTTTGTTTTGTGTTTTTAGATTCCACATGCAAGTGCAGAATCATGGCTATTAAGATGTTGTTTGTAAGCCCTTCAGCGATCCCTGGTGGTGTGCGTCCCACCTGGGACACAGAGGAATGGCCGATCGTCCAAGTGCAGCAGGAGGTCCGTGAGAGTCGGCACAAAAGGCGCTAGGAGGGCTCTCCTTGCCCTCTGTGTAAACAGCACTGCAGGGCCCGAGGGTGTGGTATCGCATTGTCATTCAGGCTGAGGCAGCAGTGGACAGCGGCTCACACTTTAGAACAGGCTGCATTTTTAAGGGTGTTGACAGAACTCAGGGTAAAGACCTCAGAGTCACAAGTGAATGTCCATCCAATGCTCCGGGTAAGGGAAGGGTGGGGACATGAGCGAAGCAAGAAGCCCTCATCTGACCTCCTGTAAGTTGTCACAGCCACTTCCCTTTCACTCTGTCTCCACAGAGTTCTCACAATTGAAGGAACTCACTCTTCCCTGTCTTCTGGGAAAAGGGAGATGAAAAACAAGGCTAGGAGACTAGAATGTGCCACTTTTTAACAGAAATACGGAGAAACCAAAAATTCCAATAGAAAACAGAAAATGACCAAGAAGTCCGAAACACGCATAAGAAAGGAAGGTAGCAATTATGTAAATGTGCCAGTTAGCCGGTTCTCAGGAACTTAACAGATACACAGACCCTGGAAGGTGGCAGCGTCTGTGCCATCTCCACCGAGAATAGGACATGAAAGAGACTCAAACCACAGCAGGAGCGCAGCAGAACTTTGACTGGTTAGGGCTCCTGGACTCTGATCCAAACTAACAAAGGAAATAATGGGCTCGCGTGGAAGATCCTTTCTAATGGGTCGTTTTTTAAAAAACCACCGGCTCTATTGTATGTTAGGTGAGGTTCTGACGGGCTGTCAGGGGTGCGTGTATGGTTCCTCTAATCCAGTTCTAAAAGGCTCCTGGGACCTCAGACCCAGTCCTTTCTTGTAGGGCAATTAATTCTACTGCATTAAGTATTCTTGTGGCAAGTGAGCCACCAGTGGGCCCTGAGCCTTTCCGTTATTCATGTTTCTGTGCTTTCAAGAAAAAGGGTCTTAAAAATAGAAAAGAAAGAAAGAAAGAAAAAGGGTCTTCTTACCAAGCCCTCTGTAAACAGACTTTCTACAAATTGCACACAGTGTGTTAACTGCACCACAGGAGGAGGGAGGAACGAGCTTTACCATCAAAAGGAGACCCTTTTGTAAACCTGGATTTTGAAAGACACAATGGAAGAGCCCACCCAAGGTAAAGAAATGAATTGCTCACAAACACAGGACAGAAATTCAGGGCAGCCGGCAGGTACCCAACGCACGTAAAGCTGTTAGCACAGTGCCTACTCCTTAGGATGCAGGCAAGACACGGGGTGCTCTTAAAACATCTCTACTCCACTATTGGCTCTAACCTCCACTGTACACAGGCCTTGGGATCCAAGGGTCAGGATTTCATCTAGTGCACCCAGGCTCTTCAGTCTCTGTCTGGGAACCCACAGTGTTTCAAACCCAGGCTGCACCAGAGTTCCCTCCAGCTTCCCTTCCCTGCCCCGGGCTCAGGCAGCCTCCTCCTTGTTCTCTGCAGAACATCAGCTCCTTCCTGTCCAGCCTTTCCCACCCCTCTGAGAGCCATGAGATGAAAAGAGGCTTGAAAACCACTCCATCAAGCCTTGGCTGGTGTGGCTCTATGGTCAGAGTGTCCATCCACGCATCGATTCCCAGTCAAGGGCACGTACTTGGGGTGCAGTTCCATCCCCCACCCGGTTAGGGGCATGTGCAGGAGGCAACCAATAGATCTCTCTCTTTCTCTCTCTCTCTCTCACTTGCTCTCACTCTTTTCCTCTCTCTCCCTTCCTTCCTCCTCCCTTTCACTCTTTCTAAAACTCAATGGAAAAAAATCCTCGGATGAGGATTAACAAAAAAAGAAAATCACTTCATGGACTGGAGCTGAAATAGAGGGTAAAGATAGTGAATGAAACCAAGGTCCAGCCCCTTCCTCCTTCCTCCTCCAACCTCTACTCCCTCCGTGTCCTCTGGACGGTAACCCACCCTCCGGGCCCACGCAGTTCATGCAGAATGGAGGAGCTCACACTGCCTCCAAGTGACGATCTGAAAGTACATGGCGCTCATCAGACATCTGGTTTACTAGGATTAAATTATATATATTTTAAGAACCATTTAACGCAGGGGTCCGATTTTATTGTTTTTGGTCAAAGGCCTCAGTAAGATTACAGAGCAAAGAACAGCACAATGTAATCCTGAGTTACGGAGTCAGAGCCATAACATTCAGAGGAAGATTCAAAGGAGGCATGGTTTCTGGGTCAACTTAACTGTGGAGTCCAAAATAACTTCCGCAGCCAGCTCAAAAGATAACCGCTAAAGGCAATGTGCGTGTCTGAGTCCAAGTAAGACACTGACCTTCACTGCAACCTTCTCAAGTGAATGCTGTTAGAATTATCCCAAGAACTCTCCGGTGGAAGGGCTGATAGACTAGAAGAGTCTACATGTGTCACTTATCAGTCAAGGCTGCCGAGCGGAAATGGGTCCCAGAAAAGTCTTGTCTCCGTTTAGACAAGACGAAGCTGGCCAGGGAGCGATGCATTTCGGTGAAGTCTAGCCATTGTCTACACCAGTGGTTCTACACCAGTGGTTCTCAACCTTCCTAATGCTTCGACCCTTTAATACAGTTCCTCATGTTGTGGTGACCCCCAACCATAAAATTATTTTCGTTGCTACTTCATAGCTGTAATTTTGCTACTGTTATGAATTGGAATGTAAATATCTGATATGCAGGATGTGTTTTCATTGTTACAAATTGAACATAATTAAAGCATAGTGATTAATCACAAAAACAATATGTAATTATATATGTGTTTTCTGATGGTCTTAGGCGACCCCTGTGAAAGGGTTGTTCGACCCCCAAAGGGGTCTCGACCCACAGGTTGACAACCGCTGGTCTACACTGTGTCCACCCTCCCCTGCCTATGGACCACCAAAGACCCAGCAGCAGAGATGTGCGCTGCTAAGGGCTTCTCTTATGTTTCTGCTTCTTCTGCCTTGTGTCCTTTTGTGGGTAGAACTGTGTGCCCCCAACCCTCCCACACACACAAAGATACTTTGAAGTCCTAACCCTGCGACCTGTGAATGTGACCTTATTTGGAAATAGGGTCTTGGTGGATGTAATCAAGTTAGGATGAGGTCATACTCAATTAGGATGGCACCCTTACATGTAGAGAAAGCAGAGTTGGAGGCAGACACACACAGAGGGAAGATGATGTAAAGAGGGACAGGGAGAACCCCATGTGACAACAGAGACAGAGATTGGAGTGG